CTGCGCGTAGCGATGTTGTTATTAGCGGCCGTCGAAAACAAATCGCCGCGAATGTATCGAAGCGCGGCATTCGCTACGTAGGACTAATTAACTAATTAATTTTGCGGAAGGGATCGGGCGGGCTTTGATAAAAAACTTCTCTCTCTCTCTCTCTCTCTCCCTCTCTCTCTCTCTCTCTCTCTCTCTCTCTCTCTCTCTCTCTCTCTCGGTCCCTTTGCGAGAGGCCCGCTCGAGGGTCGGCTTTCATATTGTCGTTGTTAATTCTGCATTGAGAGGCACTGCCGTTTTGAAATACATTCGCGTTCGCGCGCGTAGAAAGTTCATGCCGATGCTCGTCTCTAGGCGAGCGGGACTCGACCACTTTGCAATTAGTCGTAATGTTTATTAATTACCCGACACACATGGTAGATCCGTGTAATTAGACGGCTGGCTCTCCTAGCCAGTTGTTTTTCTTTTCCTCCCTCCCTTCTCCTCCCTCTCACTCTCTCTCTCTCTCTCTCTCTCTCTCTCTCTCTCTCTCCTATCCCTCCTTTTTTCACTGCCGTGAAATCCTGCCGTGGAAACGAAGTCCGAAGTCTTGCAGGATACGCGTTAGCATAGATCGGTAGAGAGTCCAGGGTACATGCTGTTGAAATGAATGGCGCACGAGGAAGACTTCTGCGCGCTTCACGTCGACTTAATTAAAGTTTCGAGTATTAAGCTATTACAAGACTTCTTCACTCTCGGCAGGCTGTTTAAGAGAGTGACTTTGCGCGTCAAAAATACACGCACAGCTCGCGCGTATTTAACTCACTCACTCTCTCTCTCTCTCTCTCTCTCTCTGTCGCGCGTTTAAAAGCGGAGCGAGCTGCGTGGAATTGCACGCTCGTGGTTATCCGTATACTGTCGTTGCCGTCGACATTTTACAAAGTTGTTAAACACCCGTCGCGCGGTGGACGCGGCAGTCGCATCTAAATGTTAAACTTCAGATTTTAATATTTTCGATAATCGACGAGGTCACGCTCGTCGATTATCGAAAATTATCGAAAATAAGAAGCAGGCGGTGCAGACACACCGGCGGGAGCAGATTTCAATCTGGCAAGATTAATTCGTCCTCCCGAAAACATGACGAACGAATAGCAGCGCCGCACGCCGCTGTCATAATTGAACGCGCGATTTAAGCGAGCGCGTTGCGCAGGTAGACCGACGCGATAGCGCTTATCACGCGTGTACACCGCTGTGTATATCGCATGTCAATGGGATGAAGAATACTCTTTCGCGCGCGCACGAGTATCCGCCATTGAAAATCGACGCGAGAGATCGCCAGTCGCTCGCGATCGCCTTCCGCTATACTTCTTTAACGGTATTCGGCCACGTGCGTCTGCCTATTCGACCGGAGTGCTCATTAAAATTCGGAGCACACTGACGATTCTGCGTTCCTCTCGCGTCCGCAGCAGGGACCGTTTCATCCTTTCGCAAATCTCCAAGTACGAAAGCGCTCCACGAGGACGAGAAGGAAAACTGACGATCCTGGGTGTGCCTTTTTAAACTCTCGCCCGAGAGTACTTTTATTCGTCGCCATTCGTCGCGATCGCAGCGTGCTCCGGCGAGAAGCTAGAAGCTCCCACGGCTCCTTCGTCGCAAGGAAAGGTATCTTTTTCTAAACGTCGCGCGACGTAATCGGAGAAGGCTCACGCTCTCCACGGATGGAGTAATAAAGCGGCCACCACCTTCGTGGCGTGGAAGGACGCTTATGAATATGGATCGGGAAAGTAATCGCGAAATGAGCGATATAGGACGGGCCGTAATAAGTCGCGCAATTATGATGTAAGCCCCGCTTGGCGTTTATCCCGGTGGCGCATAATGATCCCGCGAGCGCAGCCGAATACCTTCACTTTCCACTTCTGTCCCTATTGTCTGAGCGCGGCCGCGAGTCCTCGCCCGTCGTTCCTCCCGTGCGAGCTCTCGCGCGGCACCGCGCTGCACGTTTGACCTTTTCGCGCGCGCGCGCCGGAGATATTTATAAGAATCGCCGCCACGTCGACCGTGATTTTAAAGCGAGGTCGTTATGCAAATCGCCGAGCCCTTCCACTTTATCGCGTTCGTTAAACAGCGAATTTACACGCTCGCTCGCGGTAGCGCCGCCGTCGCCGCCGCCGATTCCTGTCATGCTTACGACTTTATCCTTCTCGTTGCCGTCGTCGTCGACGACGACGAAGCGGCCTCTCTCGATGACAAAACGCCACGACGACGATTCGCGGGAGTCACGTTGTCCGAAAATAATTACCGTTTCACGATTCGCGGCGCTGCCTCGCGCGGCTTCATCCCGCTTCACACCGCGAGCGTAGGAGATCGTAGATCTCTCGCGCGCAGGAGGTAAAATTTAATTTCGAGATCCAGTTATTCGTGCAGCCGCGTAATACGATCAGGAGTTAACGCGGGAATAACGTTCCCGCGCGCGCTCTCGCCGGAGATATCTCTCGAGTTCGCGCTGGGAGAGAAGTGGAATCCTTTTTCTCGCGACGCGGTACGCGTGAAAATTATACCGTGGGACGTAAAAAGCGGCGGGGATTAATCGTCCGTGACGTGAGCGGCTAGTCGGGACTTACAAGGCGAAACGGAAAAACGTAGGCGATGATATGCGGTTTCGTACGAGAGCGAGCTTTAATTTATTACACCGCGCTCGGGATTGTCGCGTACTTAACAGATAACGGCTGTGCTCTCTCTCTCTCTCTCTCGCTCTAGCGAGATTCGTGCAGCCGATTAAAACATCAGGCCGACCGACCGATGCGATATGCGCGCGTACTCGCGAACTCCGCCGCGCGTGATATTTTAATCGCGGACGCAAATCAACACACCTGGTGTATCATACTCGCGCGCACCGACGCGAGGTAAACATTTCGCGATACCGCAGGCGGTTCACGATTGATACGGTGCGAGCCGATCGGCGATCTGCGCGACACGTGTGCGACGGGACACGTGTGAAAGCGGCGGCGCAAATGGCTCGTAGATGTCGGATGCCGTGATGCGGCACTTATGCCGAGAACGAGACACTTTGCGTTTTAAATATCCACGCGGCGAGCGCGCGCCGCGCCGCGCGGCACGGTTTCGTCGCTCGTCGCGAGAAGTGGCTTTGCGCCGAACAACAGCGCGCCTAACTTCGTGACAAGATACGCGCGGTTTCGTGAAAGCTCGAGTTCCCGTTCTTTTTTCCTTTTCCTTTCCTTCCTCAGCGAGTGCGGTGCTCGGGGGAGAAAGTCAAACGGAAAGATCCGCGCCTCGGGAAGGAAAAACAAGCGATGTCTGTTTCTTTGTTTTCCACGCGGGGCGAGATCATCTCATCTTGTGCGACTGATTACTGAGCCAGGGAAAAAGTATTGCGATAAGAAACGATATCGTTGTTACGATCGTCGAAGCGCTTGAAACCCGATTGAGATCATATGAGAATAATTGACCGAGCGGAAGCCTCTTGCGGCAATCTTTTCGTTCCCGCAACTGAGTTCCCGTTTTAATCTCTGTTCTTCCCAGCCGAAATAGAAAATTCAGCTGGGAGTTCGGTAACGGGGTTGTTCTTTCCGCGCGGTCGCTCTCGCGAGACTCCCGAGGTTTCAACACTGTGCTAAGAAAGAAAAAAAAAAGGATAATAATATTGTTACATTTTTGGTTTCGAGACTGAATTTTTTCCGTAACAGAGTCTTACACTTGTGAGACTTCCCTATGTGATATATGTGATAGCGATGCGTCGAGACAATAAAAGGAACCGAATCGGTCGCGCCGATCCGACGATTAATCGGTCGCGAATCTCGCTGATAACACCTCGATGCGAAGTATCGCACTTATTTCGCACTTATGTCGATAAGTTCGCGTGTTTACGAGGATACATGCATAAGCAGATCTCACGAGAGAGATCAATTCCGCCAATGAGATTTTTTCGCTATTATAATATGTCAATATATAGTCTCATTTACAAAATTACCAAAAAAAGAAAAAATATATATATAATAAGCTAACTTTTCTATTTCTTAATTTAACGATTTCTTCCCCTCATTAGAACGCCACAATTTAATCGCCACAAGTCTCGCTTGTTAAATCGATTCTAAGTCCGCGGAGTGAAACATATCCGCTGCGATATTTTATCGCGAGGCTACGATTGGCAATTAAATAGATCGTTCTCGCGATACTCGGCAAAGCGAGAACCGCAAACGGTATTATTGAAAATTCAACTCGCTAAAGAATGCTCGTTAAGTGCTACCGTATGGGTACGCTCAAGGCGTGTGTGTGTGTGTGTGTATGTGTGTGCGTGTATGTGTGTCTGTATACGTCTGAAAACGTGTTGATAATTATGGGGCCACAATCGTTTCGTCTTTTGAACACGTGTGTTCTTATCAGTGGTCATTTTTCTCACGAGCGAACGATAACGGTCTCGCGAAGCGCAATTTCTGCTCGATGCGGTCTCACGACCTTCGACGACTCGTCATCCGCATTTTTGCGAGAAATCGCGATGTGAATCTGCTATTAAGGCTCTGCGGGCTTCTTATGAGTTTTGCAAAAACGAGAATTAATCCTCGAGCGGTTGCGCTTCGAAGAGGAACACGCGCAGCGTTAATTACGCGTACCGTATTTTCGTCGGAACGTGCCTACGCGAGTTTTTGAAATAACCGTTGTCCTTCATTGGTTAGCTCATAATTCGTCTCATAATAACGTAGCGTTAACTCATGCGATCACGTGAGTGATCGGTCGAATCGCGAATTTCGCGAGTGGTAGAACGGAATACCGAATATGCGCGTTTACTCGAGGATCGATCTTGTTTGCACAACATGTCTTTTCGTAAAATTCTTAATTTTTTCATAGAATTGTCCTCTCCGAGGGTTATATATGAATCGCGATGCGTAGGCGCCATTATTGATTGATTTCTTGTTTGAATATTGTAAGACACAAATCGAGATCGTTCGCCATACTGTGTATCTTTGTTACAGCTTAATCGTAATGTTTCTTTCGACAGATACAATTGTACAGTGTGCTTACGTGCTTGTCGCAATTATTTCGCCTGGAGAAGTTAATTACTACCCGCCGAAGTGTCGTGGATCGCGTCTTCTTCCGTTATTCTTGCTGCAGATAGCTAAAGCGCATATGGCGACATCTTACGTCTCTCTGCGGAAAAAGTCATAATTGGTGCGTCGAATTGCTACTTGTTGCGACATCTCGCGTTTTTTTTCGTAAAAACAAAATACAAACGCGGTAATTGCAAATTAAAGTATTATGATGTTAACATCATACTGTGTTAATTATTCTATTTTCGTTCTTAAAAAATATTTCTCGATAGGTTTTGCAACAGATATAGTAAATATATGATATTATTGATATATATATATATATATATATATATATATATATATATATATACGATATTCCACCCTTAGGAAAAATTACTTTAAGATGTTCAAATTAACTTAAAGTTACTTATAGTTAACTATAAATTACTTACAGTTAACTATAGGTAATTTTAAGTTAATTTGAAAATTTAAAGTAATTTTTCCTAAGGCCACGCACGTAAAATCAAAATTATTGAATTAAGCAGAAATTTTTGATTATCATATAAAAAAACGTCAATTCAACAAACATGATAGTTTTAGACAAAACACATTTCAAACATAACTTCATGTTAATGATTCGAAATTATATAATTTATATATTTTTAATTTGCATAAATCCTTGCGTCAATTTTTTCAAAAAACTTAATAGAAACTTACTTAATAGAAACTTAAACATTTCTTCGCTCATAATGAGATCCATATGATATAACAAACGCATGTCGCATTTTTTCAGCTGATTCCCGGTGACACAGACGCGTCAAAATTTTTCTCATCTTTTTCATCACGCACGACTTTAAAATACTCATCGAAATTTCTTCTGTAACAATATGATCTTATTAACAAAACCTGAAATCAGAGTTCTAGACAAAAATAAATTACACATATCACGAAGACCGGGATGCACCGCTTGGTTAATCCTCAGCCGTAAGAGACTGCTTAATACTTACTTAACATTATTGACGAGTTAACCAATATAGAATAATTATCAATAATTATTCAAATATTGATACACATATATAATCTCTTTTGGTTGTTTTAAAAGTTAAACGCTTTAAAAGTTTAAGTCTCGGAAAAATTTTAAATTTAAGAATATGAAAATCTTATCTCCGACATATATCTTATCACGTGTATTCTTCTAGTGTCGGCGTTAACTTTCATCGTGATATTTAGCCGTCTGACGAGCAACCTGTATTTTTTAATTATCATGCTCCTGGGCGTAGTTATGTTTGGGCTGGACAGTTTCGGAGAATGGGAGGACTTGATACTATACAAGCAGGAAAACAAAGCAATTGTCGAGAGAGCAACTTGGAGCGACAAATTATGCTCCGGGTGTTCCAATGAATTCACTTCGATGAAACTCACTGATATTCGGCATGTCGGGGTCTCCAGCGAGATAGGCCTCTTTATTCTCCATAAAAACGGAAGAATCATTACTCTCAGCATGAAAGGCCTGACGAGGGAGGAGATACAAAGTCTCCGGAAGGAGATCAATCATTTCTTGAACATGAGTAGACTCAACTACCTCGATCATTCTTTAATCGACCCTTCTAATCGGCTGCTGCTCACTTCTGATTCTGAGGATACGAAACCGCAAAAGTTATCAAGAACGTGTCCACCTACGTCCAATGATTTAACCGTTTCAGATAATGTTCTGAGCAGCGGCAAGACGTGTTGTTACCGAATACAACAAAATCTGAGCTTCCCGACTTTGTTACGCGGCATACAACTGAACAATTATCAGTCGATGAACCTGAGAAGAGGTCCTTACACGGAGAATTCGATGCGTCATGATTGCGTCGAGTATACGAGAAATACTTGTGCTGTTCCCTCATTTTGTAACTTGTCGAGGCTTAACTATGAACGTGATTAATTAAATATTGTATGTATTTGTGGTCTTCTCATTAATACCTGTGATTGTAATCAACGCTTGTAATTGGATTTGATTGCGCGCTAGAAATAAATTTGTATAACAAAGTCTTATCCGTTTTGGTTTGCCTTGTGACAAATAATTTTTAAATATAATTGCTAATATTTAATAATTAAATAATGTAACATTCCTTACGTAATATTCCTATTATGAGACTTAAAGTTCGTGCTTCATTGCACGCTACTTATAATTTAAATAGTATATATTACATTTTAAATAATTTTAAAATTAATTGAGCTACGCGGATCTATCGATTTCTATCAGACACAGCTTTATGTAAAGTGTGGAATTTAATTACTGAACGAGTTGTTTGCAGGCACTTTGAATATCAGGATATTGATACTGAAAACCCAACTCTTTCACACGCTTTGGTTCAACTTTCTGCCCTTCCAACATGATCTAAAATGAAGAAGAGTCAAGTTATTACATTGTCGTTTTAATAAATCATTAATAATCATTAGGTCGTTAAATATATATTACTAACTTTCGCTCGTTCTTCACTAAACAATATTCGCAAAACAAAATCCGGAAGAGGTATGATCGCAGGTCTCCATATCGCCGATGCGAATGCTTTTGTGAATTCTGCATTTGTAACAAGCTATTTTCAGGAAGTAACATGGATATTAATAATAATGCCAAATTAATAATAATAACATTAGAATAGAATATAATATCATTCGTATTACTTGAGGTGCAACTCCATTTAATATGCCTTGCACATTGTTGTTTTTAAGCGCAAATATAAACATGTTAACTAAATCTGTGATATGTATCCAGGGCATGTATTGATTCCCAGCACCTATCGGTCCACCTAGGCCAAGGTAGAATGGCAAGTATATCTGCTTTATCATACCACCGCTTCTTCCCAACACAACTCCAGATCTTATCGTGACTTGTCTAATATTACTCTCTTTTGGTAATTGTGCAGCACTTTCCCAATCATGAGAGAGTTCTGAAAATAACAGATAGTCGGTATAAAAGTATAAATATACATATTGTAGGAACAAAAACTAAAATTTTATACTTGATAGGAAATCATATGGCTCGCACTTGTTGTCTTCTGTATACACATTGCCATTTGGTTTATAATAAGCAACTCCAGATATAGTCAAGAAGACTGTAGCTTTAGTATTCTGTATGGCATCGGCTAGAGTCTTTGTTGTTTTCACTCTGCTGTTTTTGACGTTTTGTTTGAAACCTGATGACCATCTCTGAGTAGGATCAAGTATGTTTTGTCCAGCAAGATTGATGACAGCTGATGTATTTTCTGGTAGACCACAGCGTTCTAAATCATTCTATAGATTTCAGATACAATCCAATTTTTGTTGTTGTTTAGCTAACAAAACTCTCAGCAGATAAATTTGTTATTCATCACAACTTACCCATGACATTCTATGTGGTCCTGGCATTCGAGAGATACATGTGCAAGAGATACCCTTGAGAGAAAGGGATTTTATCAGCTGTGACCCTATAAAACCTGTGCCACCACCTAAACAACATTATACAATCTTGTTTATAACATAATATTATGCAATTTTGTTTCCTTTAATACTATTTTTCCTAGAGATTAATTCACGAATATGCTTACCTATTATTACATGTTTCAAAGTCATGTTTATGAATCTCCAAACGTTAATTTTATTTCATTTATGTGCTGAATTATCTTCAGGAGGAATTCGTAAAGAGCTTGCTGCTTTCTTCGTTGTTGAGTTGTGCTACTTTAAATACATATATATAATACAAAAGCCATTTAATTCGCCCGTGAGACGAGCATTATTCGACAGATAATAAATATTTATTGTTGAATTGTAATATTTCAAAATAATAAGTCACCTGATTTATTGTCGAACTGAATCGAATAAAAAATTATGTCTAACTTGTCGGTGATTGTACTACGACCTCAATTTGCCGGCAGAAATAGGTAGCAAAGGTTTTTGAACTAAAATTTAATTATCCAAGACTCAAACCTTTTTTAACCCAGATTCGAACCTAACGTAATTCGGGTTTTTTCTGACGTCGATAGATGGTGCTTGATAATTCATTAGCGGTCCAGTTGCTGTTTCAAAATGTAGTTCCGACATTTCTGCTACGAGACACCACTGACTCTTGTGAGAGATCGAGGTCGTAGTGCAATTCAACGATTAGACACAGAGGTACTTTTCATTTTCAATTTTAGTATTTCCAAATAAGTTAAATCTTTTTATTTTAAGTAGCGCAATTCTAAAACAGGTGTTTTAAAACATTTGACATTTTATTTCTGTGTTTCACAACGTAACAGTAATTGGAAGATCTTATTTTCAAACAATACAACTTAATAATAGGTTAGACGATTCTTTTATTTTCCGATAGCGTGTTCGAACAGCAAGTCGGATGGCTTTTTGCCTTTATTTAACAAGAAATAAAATCGGCGTTGATTAGAAAATTTTTTAAACATATAGAAAACAGTTAATTATTTAACAAAAAGAGAAATCGTGCTCGTATGTTCTGAATCGACGTTTTAGTGAGAGCGTGGTAAACAATCATGGCATCACCTTTGGAGAACTTGGAAGCTCAATTGGAGCTTTTTATTGAGAATGTACGACAAATACGTATCATAGTGAGCGATTTCCAGCCTCAAGGGCAAAATGTGTTGAATCAAAAAATGTAAGTATTCGTACAATATGCATACAATCATATATTTGCATTTGAAAACATTATTCTTGCATGTTAACCTAAATATAGATTATTTCTCACCTTAATTAAACAATGCTATGCTAAAGATTGTTCAATACTTGTTTGAAATTCAACCTTAAATGAATAGAATATAATTAAAGAGATTATCATAGCTATAGAAATATTGTGTTTTTAAGTATACAAATTTGTATCAATATAATCTTACATCAATAATAAATATTTCCTAGGCTTGTACTTTAGACTTTTATCAATCTGTTCAATTATTATAAATTGCTGTATTTGTTTTTTAGTCAAGGACTAGTCAGTGGCTTACAGGAAGTTGATAAGTTAAAGTCCCAAGTTCAGGATGTTCACGTACCATTGGAAGTATTTGAGTAAGTAAAACAATGATTTATCTGTGTTGAAATCAATGTTTTGAGTTACATTGCTATTATAAAATACTTTGGTTTCAGTTACATTGACCAAGGAAGGAATCCTCAATTATACACTAAAGACTGCATAGAAAAGGCTTTAACAAAGAATGAACAAGTAAAGGGCAAGATAGATGCTTATAGAAAATTCAAAGCCAACATGCTGGTGGAATTGAATCGAGTTTTCCCGAACGAGTTAGCCAAGTATAGAGCAATTCGCGGAGATGAATAAGACAATGCAGTTTTAAGGACCAGGCAGATAATTTTTCTCATATACTGCCACATGCTACATAACTGCAACACTTCTGTTATGGTATTTTGTAACTCTAGTATAATTATTAAAATTTATATTGCCCATAAATAGTATGTTTTGTTCTTGTATATATTTTGTAAGTGTAAATATGCGATATTTTATATAAATTAAATTTATATATATAAAAGTACAATGATGTGGAAATTTTTGCATTCCCACTCCCTCTTTGCTCGACCATACGTCAGTTGAATCGACACTTGCGCAAATTTCGTCATGCTGCATAGTGTTGAAACATTCTCGTGGCACAATTGCGTGTGACGCAAATCCGAAGTTATATTAAAGAATTCGTGCGTATCAATTGATCCGTATGAAGATGCGATTATCATGAACAGTTTGTGCGGTTTTTGAGGTGATGAAAAATTATTAGTTTATAATCTTCGATTTTGTACCGTGTTCAAATTGTTAATTTGGTTCTTTGGAAAATATATAATATTTTAACTCGAGAAACCACACGAAACAATTTTACGTAGTCGCAAGGTCCGTTAGATTTTTGATAACGGTCTGTTTTTACAAGTATCGAGTAATCGGAGAGATCGTCAATATGTATTCAATAAATATGATATATACTTTTTATCGATCGAAGTCAGATTCTTACCGACGTTAAGCGCGATTCGTGCGACCTTTAATAAAATAGGTGCGCGCGTTATTCTGTGATCAGTTTTTGCGACTGCCACAGCGGAGTGTTGCAAATAATTAAGAGTCGCGTAATTACGATATGATAAGATGCATCGATGATGAACGAAGTTACACGATGACGATACGTTGCGTGCAATGTTTTGTTAACGAGCAACAGCTGAATGGATATTTGATGTTTATTCTCGAGCTATTCTGAGGTATTGTGCGGATACAATGTGGCAATTTATCGAGTCGAACAGGTGTTTGTGACTATATGCGTCTTTCGTGCGTGTATGCGAATGCAAAATTATAAATTTCTAGGGTCGAAAATAAAAAGAAAAAGGGATCATTTGATCAAGTTTTGTACAAGAAATTGGACATCGCGGCAACTTCGATCTCGTTCATTAAATACAAGCATGTGCAACCGAGAAACATTAGTGCTTTCTTAGGAGAGATTATTTTTAAATTCTTTTTTTAATTTTAATCGAATTTTAATTGATATCCTTTCGATAGAACGTTATATCCTATTTTTACGCGTGCGTTCGGGAAATTGGCAAATTCGCTATCAATGCAAACACTAGCGAAACTGTTCGTAGAGCGATGGTGATAGCAAGCTTCACGAATAGCAATAGCATTAGCATCACATTACATTAGCATTACAGCATCATTTCCGTAGTTCAAACAGCATTTCAGTTTTGACATTCAGAAGATTTATTTAAACGCCATTGTTCATCATGTACGTGAATAATAAAACAATAAATAGGATATAATAGGAGTACCGTTTGACAATCATGTTCGGTTCACAGCGTTCTAAATGTTCTAGGTGCCTTACAAACGCTATCGTTATCAAAATGCACTAACTCGGAAGGTATAGCGTCGTTGTAATACGCTAGTGACGTCATGATAGCACATAATAGCGCATAATAGCCATCAATTTCCGTGAACAGTTTGTAGCGCTAAATAATATTGATAACAGAATCTTCTTGAACGCACTTCATGTCGAATTTACAACGTCCAATTCGTCGTTGAATTTGTTTCGCAAGGTTCGGCGGGTCGCGCAGCGATGCTACGCGCGAGATCGCTTGTATAAATTTTCAACAACGTGTTAGACGCCGGCGGTTTCGCCGCCCCACTCGAGTCTTCCCCTACCCATGCAAAGCGGCATGAATACGATCTTCAGGCGAAGGATAAAATCATTCCGTGAACGACAATCGAGCATTCGGCAGAAAGCAGCTCTGGTGATTATTCTAAGCGGCATGCTTACTCTACTGATCGTCGTCCTCGCGCTCCAGTACGGCGCCAATCAGGCCGAGGAGTATGCGTGAGTATCACGAGAAAACTGGGGATTGCTATCGTTCTAATTTCACCCGGCTCAATTTGTCGAACACGCACACACACACACACACACACACACACACGCAATGGCACAGACGAGAGAATGTAAAATCCTTAATCTGCTAGCGCTTGCACCGCGAAGAACCTCGACGATCATTTTCTAACGCTCCGGCGATTGTCTTCTTCAGAAAATAACATCAAACATCCTGTCGCTTGTCTATCTGTGCTCCTAATCACGTAGAAGTGTCTCTCTCTCTCTCTCTCTCTCTCTCTCTCTCTCTCTCTCTCTCTCTCTCTCTCTCTCTCTCTTTCGTAAAAACATCTGTATTCCTATATCGGTAAAAGTCAGGAATGAGAATGGAATTGTCGAATGGAGAATTGTCGAAGGGAAAGTCGATCGGCGCGATTAAACGTAAACAATGGGTGCATTCACGACACTCAACGGTTGAGCAACTGTTGAATAATTCGTCGACGTTATTGGTCTGAATGTAAGGATCTAACAGTAAGGACCAATAGTCTGGTCAGTAATCGCTCACCGAGCGGTTTTCTCCGCTGAACGCACCCAACGATCGTCGCGGCTTAAAGTGGAAATCACTTGCTATTATCGAGATTTCAAAGCACCGGGGTATCATACGCTTGCTGAGCTTGCTGTTGTGCGAGCACCGGGGCTCCGTTACCTCATTGAAATCCCCCCGACCATCGTCGGCTTCGCTGCTGCACGTGTCGCACGGAGAACGCGAGTCGCATATTGTTGAACACGCGTTCAAAGGCGGTCAGTAATAGCGCCGAGCTCCGCTAACGGCAGGCGGGAGCGTTAGTTTTAAATGGAAAGGTAATTCGCCTGGCGCGGTGAAAGCAACAGGTGGATGGTGGATCCATTGAGAACTAGACCGCGTCGGCCGGTTGCGAAGTTCAGCGACACTCGGAAGATCGATCGGTTTTTCATCGTTCCTTGCGCTTTTCAAAGTCGCGCGTCGGCTGGCGCGTTTTTCGCGGCTGTCGATACGACAGCCGCGCTCAATTCGCGGCTCAACGCGTTACGACGAAGTAACGCGACGCGATCGCAGTCTCGCTCGATGGAACAGTAAACTTGACAAACTTTACACGAATAATGAGGAGGAGCTTCGGCTTAGTTTAGATAAGGCTCGCGTTTCGATGCCGATCGACGAAACTGCCAAACGAGCTCGGCGTTCCTTCGGATTCTTCGCAGCTCCCCTTGGCACTACAAGTGCGATGGCGGCCTGTGCAAGAAGCAGTTGATCACGGAAGAGACGAGCAACCCGATCGCTCTCAGCGTCTGCCAGTTGTCATGCGGCCAAGGTGGAGCTCTCTGGCCGAAGCCGACGGGACACTTGTCCCTCGGTAACACCGTGGCTCAGCTGAATGCTGACAACATCATGCTGACCGGCATCTCGCAGCAGACGATGGTGGGAGATCTTCTTCAGAAAAACATAGATCGTCTAAAGCAGAGCTCGAAGAAGCTCGCCGGCCCGGTGACGTTGAAAAGCGGCGGCGTCGGTTTGCTGATCCACGTCGCACCCGAAGGTCTTCCGACCGACGACGTCAAGTTGACCTTGGAGACGGATGAGAGCTACACTCTCCGAGTGGCTCAGGCCAACGGACAGGTAAGCAGCCGGGGCGTCGGGTTAGCGGAGGCTGAAAGTAAAAAAGAGCACGACGTTCGGTCAATTTGTCTTGGGCCTTTTGCTCGCGGCCGAATCGCCGACGACGATGTGTCTTCGCGGGTCGTCCGGTTGTTCGTAGGTAATTTATCTGTTTTCGTGTATTCAAATTACGCGAACGTGGGAAATCAAACCGGCCGCACTGCGCTTTTTATCCGACTAAGAGAAATGAGGTGAACGGGGATGCTAAAAACTAACGTACGTTGAACTTTACGGCTCGACTGTCCGGCCAAGAGCCACCGCGCGTCAGGACGAAACGGAAGAACTGCAGACCGCACCGCTGTGTGACGCGTGTAAGCCGTCATTATACGCCAAGTATCAACGATTCCGCCTTATTTCAAACGCGTCACTATTATTTTCGTAGTTGCCGTTAGTGACATGAATATCCGAAGTCCGCAAACGAGTTTTCTGCTATTCCGCGAGTTCAGGGCGGATATAGCTGCGCATGCATGTGTGTGATACAATGTAACGTGATTCACTGTTAGGTCACGGTTGCCTGTTCGGGCGCGTTAGACTCCGCGACCGCGAGAGCGACCGTGATCCTTTTAATTTGTCAATGACACGCTGTTAAGAGAAATTAAGTTCGTTTAAGTTTGCAGCGGCTCGATCGCGTTGGTCGTACGTCGCACGTTTTCGACTTTCTTCGCCGAATTATTATATTCGCCGAAGAAGACAGTATGTTACTAATTCATGTCCAGGTGGAAGCGCACATCATGGCGAAGACATATTTCGGCGCTCGTCACGCCATGGAGACCCTGAGCCAATTGGTCGTCTTCGACGACCTGCGCAACAAGCTGCAAATCGCCAATGACGTGTACATCGTGGATGGCCCGAAGTATCCTTATCGCGGGATCCTTTTGGACACCAGCCGAAACTACGTGGACAAGGAGACGATCTTGCGGACGATCGAAGGCATGGCCATGTCCAAGCTGAACACCTTCCACTGGCACATCACCGACTCCCACAGCTTCCCCTACGTCAGTAGAACGTGGCCGAAATTCGTGAAGTACGGCAGTTACACACCGACGAAGATCTACACGCCCGAGATGATCAAGGAAATCGTCGACTATGCTTTGGTCCGCGGTGTTAGGGTCCTGCCGGAGTTTGACGCTCCTGCTCACGTCGGCGAGGGTTGGCAATGGGTGAGTGGCATTGCTGTGACATGGAACGAAATAGCGTATTAGTAATGATAGAGATAGCAAGTTTGCTGTATCATTCGTTTATTTTCTTTTATTTCGAAAATTGATAAAATCACGAAATCGATAAGGCAATTATTACCGAACATCCGCAATTATCGGATGTTGAAAACTCATAACGGTATGGAATTGCAGCTTATCTGAGACGTTATGATAAATATCGTTTTGATGAAACTCGATTCTGTTGTGCGATTTCAGTTGAAAAGCGATGTTTATTTCGATGTTCGATTGAAAGTAAAAATGCCGCTTTGATTTTCTTAACAATACGAGAAAATTATACTTATGTAGCGAAGCTACATGGAACGGAAGTACTTGAGCGGGGGGGGAAGTATTTGACGAAAATCGACATCAACGCACAAAAATTGCTGTTTCATTGTTATTTCACGCCTTGTTAGGTAATCGATATTGTGGCGCAATCGGTCCCTCTGGAAGTTAACATCTGTATTTGCATAATCAATTGATCAAGGAACATTGTGTGAACAGCTGTTATACGAGATAAACTTGGGAAATGTACCGTTATAAATTCTGCCAAACACCATCTGTTTGCAACAACAATGTGGAACGAGATGCATATATTAATACAGCGTAAAATCATGAAATACAATAGCAGAAATCAAATATAAATGATAATTGACACTCTGCAAGAACCATCGAAAAGAGATTAAACGATCAAATCGTTTAGAAAATATAATTTGAATTAAGTTAAGATGCTCACCCCAATACCAGTGAAGAAAGATTTTACTAAAACTTGATCAAGAAGGAAAAGACTAAGATTTCCTCTTCCTGATATTTTTTGCCATTGACACATGACGCTACGTATTGATAAACAGGTTGGCGATAATGCGACGGTGTGCTTCAAAGCCGAGCCCTGGAAGGATTATTGCGTGGAGCCACCGTGCGGCCAGCTTAATCCTACCAGCGACAGAATGTACGAGGTCCTAGAGGGTATTTACCATGATATGATGGAGGACTTCGAATATCCGGATATCTTCCACATGGGCGGCGATGAAGTGAACATCAACTGCTGGCGATCCACGAAAATCATCACCGACTGGATGTTGAAGAAGGGATGGGACCTCAGCGAGGGAAGCTTCTACATGTTGTGGGAGTATTTCCAGGAGAAGGCTTTGGAGAAACTAAAAATCGCCAATGGCGGCAAGGACATCCCGGCTATCCTTTGGACTAGTGGGCTCACTAACGAGGAGAATCTTCAGCATTTGGACCCCAAGAAATACATCATTCAGATTTGGACCACTGGTGACGACCAGACCATCGGCAGACTCCTGCAGAATGACTTCAAGATCATTATGTCGAACTACGATGCTCTGTACCTTGATTGCGGGTGAGAAAAATATTAATAGATTAATGAAACGTATCAGTACGGTCAGTATTTCTTCGACTCTTATTTCCAAATATTTTCACTTTTCAATCTGACAAAATTTTTTGATTTAAATAGGTTTTATATTAAAATCTCTACAACTAACACAAGCTACAAGCTTTTTTTTCAGCTTTTGTTTAAGAATCAAATAAATCATAATAATTCATGTAAATATATTTCGTTAACATAAATTCGATCTTTTCCGCGCAAAGCAACAATTATTTTTTTACTTACTCATAGATTCTCAGCCTGGGTGGGTGAAGGTAACAACTGGTGTGCGCCGTACAAGGGATGGCAGAAAATTTACGACAATTCACCGTTAGAAATAGTGAAGAAACAAGGATACGGGCACAAGAAGAACCTTATTCTAGGTAAGTCTATTTTTCAAGCGAAAAGTCAGTTGTTTTCGCTATTTTTTTTTCGGACTGGGCAAACGGAAGTAGATAGATAGTTACTTGGTGATTGCGATACGATCACGTCACGTATTCTTCTCGCAGGTGGAGAGGCGGCATTGTGGACCGAGCAAGCGGACAGCACATCCACCGATTCTAGATTGTGGCCGAGGTCGGCTGCGATGGCTGAAAGATTATGGACCGAACCGGCATACAAATGGTATCATGCTGAACAAAGGATGCTGAGGCAACGCGAGAGATTCGTAGAGAGAGGAATCGACGCGGATAGCCTGGAACCCGAATGGTGCCTGCAAAATCAAGGCTCGTGTTATGCATAAACCTTAAATTAATGCTGTTGTGAAAATTTTACATTCGTCTCATTTGTACAGAAACTCACATTGTTTTTTTACATTTGACGTTATAATAAATACTACCGTTTCTGATGTTTCGATCTCGTCGTTTTGTCTTCATCTTCCTTATATCATTGTTTCGTAGGAATCGAAGTGACTCGCTAAGCTGACTTTCACATTGTTAAGTCGCAATATCTACAAATATCTATAAATTATCGTGCAAATTGAAACATCGGAGAAAATTACATTTTACGAATTAAACTGTTGAGCTAACAGAAATGTCGATTTAAAGACTTCTTGGACTTCTCGGGTGATTCTCATTAGAAAGTCTATATATTCCGTTGGAGAGGAATTAGGATAACATTATTATAATACATTACAACTTGAACTTCACCGTCGCTTTATTCATGCAGTCACGTTCACAATGCTTTTACCAATACCGTAAATGAAGGCAATCAATCTCGGTCGTATAAAGCAATGTTGTACATCGATCGTATGTGTCTGGGGAAAGTTTGATAGAGGAGAACTCGTTGTTTCTCGCTGGAGATCGAATTGTTTCCCCAAGAGCCGCCCAAGAGTCGCGGCTCTCAAAACGAATTATTCATACATGTACAGGTATGTATGCGTATATACAGCTACTGTTAATCTAATTGCAGGTACGGTGTAACGATGCTCACGATCGCTTGTTACAAGTCGCAAATTGGAAGTAATCGACGTTTGAAATGATTTGTCCGCAGCAGCACAAAGAGTACGAGTATATATCTTTTCTTTCGATATACGCGCATGAGAACAGCGTTTGTCTCTCATCTCTAAAATGCGTGAAATTATGTTGCGAACACAATTACCGCTACTGCGCACTTTCCCGTTTCCCTTCCCCGGCAACGTTGAATTGAGTGCAGAAAGAAAACACACATCGAGAGGAAGTAATAATCCCGAGTATCCGCACGTATAAACGGCAAAGACGAAGTCAGCGTTTCGGAACGCGCAATTTGTGTGTCACGAATATTATAGTAAACTTTTCTAAAAATGTCGCTCTTCTGCCATGCGACATCTCTCACGAGGACTTACTTTTTCTCTCAGGGAAATTAAATATTATTTCACAAGTTAAACGAGTAAACTTTACATCCATTAACATCTTATATTAATAGATAAGTCGTTAACATTTGTGGAATCGCCTCTCGTTTTGGCGATTATATCTTTTTTACACGTTCAGATGTATTAAGCGATGCTATTCTCACTCCTTGGGAAAAAGATACTTCTCGCGATCTCACGGTACAGTTTTAACATTTACCGTCTATTAACGGTTTGCAGATGATTGTTAATAGTTGTCCTCCTTATCATCGAAGGGTGTTTTCACGAAATACGTGGTGAGTGTTCCCTTGCCTTTAACATATGTCGGTCCACGACATACAAGCTCGTATCCGGCGTCGATGAGGATCTTGGCTGTATCTTCGGTGACTTGAAGTTTGCCCATTTCACCGCAACTGTCCATCCTTGAAGCTACGTTTACTGTATTTCCCCAAATGTCGTACTGCGGTTTTTGCGCACCTACGACGCCAGCTATTACGGGACCGTGATTTAGACCTGATAAAAAAATTAGCCACACTTATTCACTTATTTACTTTGCAGAGAAAAATTACAACAGTAAATTGACATCTTCCATAGTCTTTTACCCATTCTTAATTTGAATCTCTGGAAAGAGTCTCTGTTGATCTGATCTAGAATCGTCATAAGCGCGATAGCGAATTCGACAAGTACAATTACGTTGTGGTCCTGCTGCTTCAATGGATCCTGTATAAAAAATAACGAACAGTTTCAAGGCATTTATTAAACTTAATAAAAAACTTAATTTGTATTTAAACTTAATAAAAAAATTATTCAGAATTTTTCTTAGAGATTATTTCGATGACAAAATTCTCTACGTTCAAACTGTGCAAATTGTTCAGCTGAACAAATTTGTCAATTGTCAAGAGCTCGACAAATTAAACAAACTTTGTGGAAAACTTATATAAACGCAGAGAGATCTCGAGATGGTGCTTCATCTTACGATCTTACCTTGCCGTCGCCATCCTCCTTTCCAGGACTCAAGCCAGACGCCAGCATATAAGTACTGCCTATCGTCTTAATCTTCTCGATCCCAGAGAACTTCGGTTTAAGTAAGAGTTTGTCGAAGTCGCAAATGATCTCGTTGAGCAAACGCAAGCACTCGAGACCTTGCTTGTTTATGTCGGTTTCATCGTAGAACTCCTTGTAATTCGGAATTGATGCGAACATTACTGCGATGCTGCTGTACCGTTCGTGATAGAGTTCCTGCCGAAAAACAACGATCTTTAGCTCCAAATATCATCTGGTATTTGGCACTGAACAGTAAATCATTATCATGTATTAAAATGGAATAATGTCGCAAACTTCACAATTCCGAGAGTGAAAAATTTCAAAAGCTCACTTGCGTGTCTCTCGTTGCTAAAAAGTGATCCGCCACATGAGCTGGAAGTATGTTCTCCAGAAGAATTTTATTGATGCCTCGCATAGTCTCCACCTCGTCTTGTTCGACTCTCAGTTTGCTCTTCCACAGGATGTCTGTTCTGGACGTGTATTCCACTTGTCTGTCCAAAATGTGGAGTATTACGCTGACGAGCGTCAGCAGATATCCCACTTGCATCAGATAATGGATCCCATAAAACCTGCGGAAACGCGAGGAAGCGTTGGCGAAGCTTCACGATGAAGCTTGCGATTCATAACGCGCTATTCGAGCTTCGAGCATCGTTTCACTCACTTGGAGCCAGGATTCTCGTAATAAAGCTGAATGACCGGTGCTTGTGAGAAGACCGCGAGTATTACGACTACGGATAGGAACATTACGCTCAGCTTTAGCAAGAAATCGACCCTCAAATGCGTCCAGCCGACCACTAATGCCATCACCGTCGAATACACGTACAGCTGGAAATATATTTGTCAAGTGAGCAAATAAATCAGTATGAAACATTTATCTCGGGCGCAACACGTGCTTACTCTAAATTTGCAAAATGCCGCATCGAGAAATAAATTGTCTCTGACAAAATTTTCGATAAAAATGCAAATTTTATTCAATATGTCAAATGTATATTTCAAAAGAAGATCTTCTAATCTTTTTCATATTATATCAATGATATTTGTTAATTTGATAACGATGCTTGAACTTTGAACGTAACGTAAAGATCGACATTATATGACAGACATTTGTAAGATTCAACATCGTTTCAGCGTCACTCTTTATTAAGTAAAATATTTTTGAACATACGCACTGGTACGATGTATCCGACAGTCTGATCAACATCGATCAGACTAATGACCGATGATGCAACGGCCAGCAGAGCGGTTATTAAATACACCGTTATCCTGATACCGCGGCTAAGTGCAATCTGATTTGTTGACTCTTCAGAACCGCTGCTATCGACTTTTCCATTGAACCATGAGATCACGGCGAATATGATCAGCGATGCCAGACCAGCTGCGAAGCAACCGTAAACCACGATGCTTCTGCACGAGTGGAAGTAAAATAAATTGTTCAACGCGCCAGGAAGGAATACAAAGTATTAACTTGTAACTCTAAAATAAATGTAACTAATTTTAACAACATAATCTAATACCAATATATTAAATTTAAATAGATAAAATTTGTCAAATACGCACGCACACACACACACACACATGTATCATATAATTAACGAAATATAAATCCACTTCGCGAAAATTTACGAATATTACATAATTATCCTGCAACCTGCAAGTTTCGCCATTAGACGGTTAGCGTAACGCTCCGTTCAACGGTTCGTTGGAGTTGAGTTAACTATCAAACGTTTAATTAGCTTGTTACGGAAATTCACCTCGGCAGATAAATAAGCTGAATGCAGAACATCAGTGTGTAGACCACGTTGGAGGCGATGACGTACCAAGAGTACTGCTCATCCCTCTGCTCTCGATACTGTTGCTCCTGATTCTTGTCCTTGAACCAATAAGTGAAAGGCGATATCCCCTCATTGCCGCCGCACCAATGCCTACATTGTGCATAAAAAATCCAAAATAATATCGCTGGAAAATATATACATTCGTTCCTCTGCCGTTGGCATAATATCCGTACGTGATTTCAATCCATCGCCGCGAGAAATTACATTTGTTGTTACACGAAGCACGTATTCGGGCGTATTAATTAATTTTAATAATTACAATACACACGTGCGGCGCGTGCCGCGTATATAATGAGAGAGGAGGAGGAGGAGGAGAGATGGAATAATGCGAAGAAATAATGTTTATTAAATCGCCAACAGTTTTAACTGATAATGCCCGGCCTCAACCGGTGCTTACGGTATGGAAATTGAAGGATCGTAACGCGCGCGTGTCATTTATCGAACGCGTTATCGGATTAGCGGTCTTTGTTCTCGCCGGCATGGTATTAACGTTAATTAATAATATGTATAAACTCACTGCGTGTCGAAGCAGCTGGCGTTGTTCGACAATAGATTCGACTCGATCATCGCGATGCTCTGTCGGGAAGAAGAGACGCATTTTAATTACCGCGCCAAATCCAAAAGCAAAGCTACGGAAATGAACGCAGGTTTACCGTTAGGCCGATATTCTTCGCCAGCGTTGCCTCCGCGATATTGGCGAAAGGCTTGTCCGCGCCCCAACACTCCACGTACTTGGTCATCTTGCTGCTGGGCCTCGATCTGTCGTGAAATACACGCGATATATCACGCTTCAATCACCGCCATGCTGTGTACATCCATCATTAATCACAGCGATTTGTAATTTATTTGCTGATAATACAACATACGATTATAGAGGTACAAAACCGACAGCGCAAATGCGAAATTCAATTTAACGACCTAATTCAATCACCAGCACCGAGAGAAAGGTGAAGGATATTCTCAGGGAATGATATACGTATATCTAGCGCGCGGAAGCAAAATATCTCTCTATTTTTCTTCCGTTAATCATCACGAAGGCTTTCAGCTTTCGCTGCGATTTCGCTTGGTGTCATTATTTTTGCACGCATCGTGTGCCCTACCGTCGGGGATGAGAAGGAATTGTGTAATGTAACACACCTGGAGGGTACCGGTCCAGGTCCGTGTATACGGTTTCCGCCGTTCTCCATTTCACTTTCCTCCCTGCTTTTCTACAGGAAATCAACAAGGATCATCAGTGGATAATCACCGCGGTCTCACGGTGGGGTGTAAAATAAGACGCGGCGTATTCGTGCGTTTGCAGGACGTTTGCTTCGTTAACGCGTACAAGCGCGTACATGAGGCACTTCCCGGTAGAGAAATAAATAACATTACTTTAATCGCTTCAAACGAGATAGCTTTCATTACCGCGAACACGTTTGCTCGCTCGCGTAGCGACCTTCTTCGCGGGACAGCGAGTTCTGTCTTATCGTAAAGTACGACGAGTGAATTTCACGCGGCGGGGATTAATCGCGTCGTCGCAGTCATAAAACGCACCTTATTATGCATAAAGTAACGTAAATACGCATTTGATCGCGATGAGATTATTTCTCTTCCGGGAAGTAAGCTGGCCAGCGCGAAGAAGCGTCTTCCCGTGATCTTACATAAACGCGAAATGTTTTCGCGTTTACGTAAGACGCAAGTCGCGCGCGAAATTACAGTCCGGCTGGAAGAATCGAATGTCCTCGATTACGAGAGACACAAGATGCGAGTAAATTCGCACGGCGGGGAAAGGGGCGCGCGACTCGGCGGTTTTCAGCAAGTTTTTAACGAGCTTTCGTCGGAATCTTTATCGCCGTGATAAACGAAGCATTACGATCCGAAGTTTGTTCGTACAGAAACAAGGCGCGGCCAATTTAACCGGATTTCTCGCCTTACGGGCGAACTTTACTATCACTTCGCGGCGGATTATTCGCTGTTATTCTTTAATCGCGGATCCTCCGTCCTTTATCGCGGGAAAAGTCGGGTCAGCGGACCCGCTCGACGGATTCTCGCGGATATTTTTACGTCTCGAGCTTCGTGTGCGATTCATGTTCTGTAAAATTTAGAAGCATCAACGACGTCTCGATAAAATTTGAGAAAATATGAACGTGAGGCCGTGGGATATCGCAACAATTTCAGCAGTTGTGTATAAAATTGTTATATTTTTTTCCGAAATATTTAATATTTATATTCTGGTTTACCGTGCTTTTATTTGGTTTACGCGATCGTTAAAGAGGATATTTAATTGCGTGCGTACGCAAGGTCGATAGCGATATCTCCCTGTTACAATTGAAAAGTTGTTTATCTTTCGACTAAAATTATCGCGCTATCGCTGCTGCAGATCGCCGGGCAATTCGTTGTCTGACTAATTAATTATTTCATCATTTATTTAATCATTAATTATTTCGCACAGACAAAGATAAAGTTACTGTTGCAGCGAATAAATGAAGATAGATCGCGACTGTGTTTACATTTTTCCTTCGGCGATGTCTGTCTGTCTGTCTCTGTTACTCGTGGAAATTAAAGGGCAGCGCTTGAGCCACGTGTCTTGTTACGTACGAAAGTTACGCGAAATCATCAGGGAAGATCAAGACATAAACGCGAAGTTACTTTTAACAACATTCTGATAGATTCTCACGTACCTTGGGTGGCATTATAAGGAAGGTCTCCACTTTGTGCTGAGCGAGATAACTTTCTCGAGATCCTCCATCGCCTGGCTCGACTTCAAACCGATCGCCCAGTTGCAGCAAAGTAGCTTTCGTTATGTGAACTCTCCTTGAAAATTACGAGAAACCTGTTACTGATACAATCACATCGATAATATTGGTTGTTGATAAGGAAATCTCGCATGATTGTATTGGGTGTACAAATTATTATCGGTCCGTTTTCAAAAGATGGCTCCGGCTGTTATGAATGATTCATAGTGACTACCGATTTTGGCGGTTTCAGAGAGGTTAGACATCTGCCAACAATATTCAGTTTATATCGCTTTGAGTTTCATACAAAAACCTTGCTTTTTACAGTGTTGAAAATGTCGAATTTTGTGTTAACCAAGTAGCATTTGCGGGAGGTTTCAATTTTCTGCTTTAATTGGAAGAAAAGTGCAGCTGGAAGCCCATCGAATGCTTGTTGAAGTTTATGGTGACGCTGCTCCAACTGATAAATCATGTAGGGAATGGTTTCGATGTTTCAAGGATGGAGATTTCAGCGTCGAAGACAAGCCTCGCTCTGGACAGCCAAAAAAATTCGAGGACAAAGAATTAGAGGCATTACTCGAAGAAGATCAGAGTCAAACGCAAGAGAGGAGCTTGCAGAATCATTGGGAGTGACTCAACAAGCCGTTTCCGTGCGATTGAGAGACATGGGAATTATTCAAAAACAAGGAAATTGGGTGCCTTATGAACTGAAACCGAGAGACGTTGAAAGGCGTTCTTCATGACAACGCTCAGCCTCATGTCGCTAAAGTCGTAAAAAAATATTTTTACGACTTTAGCGCTCAAATGGGATGTTTCACCGCACCCGCCGTATTCTCCGGACATTGCTCCTTCTGATTAATGGTTGTTCCGAAGGATGCAGCACGATTTGGCAGGTCACCGGTTCACTTCTTTCGCAGATATCGAAAATTGGCTCCAAACTTGGATCGCCTCAAAAGACGAGTCATTTTTTCGAGATGGAATTCGAAAATTGCCCGAAAAATGGGAGAAAGTAGTAGCCAGCGATGGAAAATACTTTAATTGATCTGTTCATTCATTTTGTTTTGAAATAAATACATCTTTTAACACAAAAAAACGGACCGAACTAATTTGTACTCCCAATAAAAGTGCAGCTACAGAAGAAGCTTTCGCGCGTTCTTCATAATTTTACATTATCCGAATAGAAAACTCTATCTTTCTCTCGCGCGAAGTCGCGCAGGAAAAAGGATATCGCGAGCGTGTTAACGCAAGTATATCACCTTATATCGGTGTCTTGTGTACCAATACGGTTGAAGAGGATCACGGTAGCGCGAGAAAATCGTCTTACCCTGGTAGACCGCCGCTCTCCATGTGATTGGCCAGAGTCACGTCGTCGCTCCACACGTCGAATTGCCATTTCCGCAGACCGAGGACACCGCACAGCACGTTACCCGTGTGAATTCCTATCCTCATGTCGACGTTGAAGCCGGTGGCCTCGCGGACGAACCTACGGGCATACATAAGTTTCGAATGTCTCCCTCGCGATTTTCCCGTTGCCGGGAGCACACGCGGATAGATAATTTGTCGCACCGGGCTTTCGTATTCCCGCCCGTTGCAGCCGAGGTCACAACACACCACCACTGCACCGTAGCGCCGTTTATTTATACACGGAGAAATTCTACCCGTGGATGTTAGTTAAGATAAACCAACGCTTTAATCGATTCGCAGTCTCTCCTTGGTTCGTACGAGGAACTCCGGATCTTTGTCATTGTTATCGAACCTTTATTTAACGTTCGTATACTGCGCACCTGCAGGTGCATGCAGCGATGGTACAAGGTAAACTTACCATGGCAATTAGCCGGCTACACGTAACGCCAAATGCGCAACAGGGAGAACACAAATACTCTATTTTATCGACTCTACAAGAGACCCCGCGATCGCGATGTATCTTTCTCGAAGAAACCTTTGCGAGTAATTTATAATGATGCTTCGGTGCAAGAAAATCGTTGATTAGAAAAACACAGGATTCTCTAGCACAATTGAATATTTTTTTAAATAATAATTTCGGAAATATTTTTTTCTGTCATATTTTTCCTCTCATGGCGACATTTTGTATTCGCTATATGTTAAAGTAAGCATGTTGCGCTGTAAAGCTGTCTGCGCTCTAAAGTTTTGTTATTGCGACAATGACCGAATTTTTAAGAAAGTTCAGAGTTGTTCAGAGTAGAATAAAAAATGTCCTTTGATTATCATTCTGTATAATAATTAATGTATTTGTAAACTAAACTGTGGGATATCAATGGTGCAATTAAAGCTAAGCAAGAGAAATAATCGCATTTCGATGTGCGAATAACGTCATGGACAAAGCGCTCGTGAGTCTGTAATTAATAAAGCGGTAATAACGTCCGGGGATTAACGGGGACTGTGTGTGCATCTAGTTGTCAACAAACTGTTATAGATGATACTCATAAACAACCGTAGCCGTGTAATAACCGTATAAACTATAGACTTTCCGTATTTTCTATCCTATCTTTCGATTAAAATACGAAATTTTCTTTCAGTTCTTCTCAATATTCTTCAATCTTTCTCTTTGAATTTTTCGACCAAATTACCAATGTTATTAGCGACACATTACTTAACGGAAAATTATAATGACTCTTAAATTATCATCTAACAATTATTCTCGTCATTAAATGCGCAGCGAATAGAAGACGCGATATCATATGCGAATATGTCGTAATATCGCAATATCGTTGTAAAAAGAAGTCTCTTATTTTTTTGCAATTCCTTTTGTGTGTAAAAATAGCGCAGCAATTATTTTTATGCTTTTCCACGCTTTGTCGCTGCAGGCAATAATTTGAAAAGATTCGCGGAGGAAAACCGCGCGTTATTAACGAGAACGTAATTAACGTCGCTCACGCGGTAACCCGCTGGCAACAATTTTTATGTTATTTCTTTTACCTGATGGCGTCGATCATTTGCAGCCCCATGTTCACACAGTTGTAGGCGTGATTCGGACGAGAGACTGGAAGCCCGGAGACGCAGTAGTAACAATCACCCAGGATTTTAATTCTCATGCACTGATTGTCCTGAAAATCAGAAAATTCGCTGGTTATACCGGTTATACAAAGATGTGAGATTAAAAACGAAAGAATTTGATAAACTGCGCAATTAGACACAGCATATAATTGGTATCACAATAACTGTTGGATTATCTCAATCGCGTGTAAAATGTGTTCGTGAAGTTTTATTCGCTGCAAGAATTTTCCGCAATACGCCGCAATGTGATATTGATAATTCGATATGAATATTCATACTCGGGTATTCCTCGCTGATAAAAGACTGGAATTGCGCGGAAGCCATATTTATAACTAGAGTTTCGATTGTATCGAGTTTCGATGTATCGAGAGAGAAAGATCAAGAGGTAACCCGTGTAAATAATTCTCAATTGTGCACAAAACATTCGTTCTTATTTTTATACGAAAATTCCATGATAATTCCGTGACTTTGAACAGCCTCGTCCATGCGCGAGATCGTCGTCCAGACTAACTGTAATAACCGGCTTAATTGAAAAATTTGATTGTCGAAATAATGAAAACGCTTCGGCGTGCTCCATGACGTGGCTGATATTAAAAATAATTCCCAATGCGCCAGCGACACAATTCGTTTGGCGTTAACAAACGTTCCTGGTTGTCCGCGAATCCGCGTTTTGCAATAATCGTCCGTTCGCGCGTCGCGAAGACCATTAGCAAAGGCGGTAAAGCGCACCGCGGAACTTGTTAATTAATCGTCGTTTGAGCCGTTGAATCTCTCGGCAGTTCTCCTCTTTTCTTTATCGAGAAACATCCTCGCGGCGATTGGTCGGACAAAGACAAACACGCTCTCAGATGCTGTCCACAAAGGCAGGAAATGGACAGAGAGGAGGACGCCGACCAAAGCTTTAATGGTTCCTGTGTACGAGCAAAGTTTTTTCGTCTATGACGTTGTGCCGTAAAGACGACGTACCGCAAAACGATGTTCCATGTTTCGTCCTGGCTGCGACGTTCTCAGTGTCCGTCAGAAAGAGCGAGAGGATTGGGAGTCCGTTCGGAAAGAACTATCGCGATTCACACGAAATACAAGATACCGCTTCGTAGAATCCGGAGGACTGCGAACAAAGTGCGGAATTTCACTCGCTTCGTCTGTCACACGATGTTTCATTCCAGAGCTGAAGAACTTGAATGCGATTCGATCTAACTCTCAAGGCTGGATCCAACTTGATTTATATGGATGATTCAATGGATTTATATGGACAATACTGGGATATATGAGGCCTAAGACCGGGGAAGAAAGATTTCATCCCGAACTCGAGGTTCAGGTAAAACGATTCGAATCGTGCAACTCAATCGCCAACGAACAAGTCCGAAATAGAACAAGTGAGGGGAAGTAGAAAAGTGGTTCGAAGTAGAAAGTTGAGCCTCAAGAAGAGCCTCGGCGATTCGGTTAGCAACGAACGAAGAGTTCGACTGTTCGGCTAGCTCGAGGAAAATTCTAGCTGAGGTAGCATTTGTTGCAATTGAGGGAACGCGGTCTGACGCTCTCCTTTCACAACGCATCGGCTGATTTTACGGGTTGAATAATTCGATTTGTGCTCCTTCGGCATCCTCGAAACCCTCGAAAGATTCGAGCGATGTGAGCGATGTGCGATCTTAAACAGTAGGATCCCGAAGTATCTGAAAATGCCGAGGATTAACCCGGGCCCGTTTGCGATACTATCGAGAGCATCATAATCCGAGATGGGATTAGATTAGTTAGACCTAATTTCGAAGGATCTGCAAGGGGGAACTCGCAGGACCTCGAGAGCTGCGAAGAACCACGCAGGCACGAATACAGCCCGACGTAAAGCGCGCGGGATAATATCCTGCGTGCTTTACGCGAATTAGCCGCGCGACGCATGTGAGGAAGAAAATAAATAATACAAAAGAAGGCGAGAGAAGGAAAAATCATGCAATTCTTCGTTTCTGACGTTACAATGTGACGCGCCGACTGATCCGAGAGAAAGGAACCTGGTAAGTTTATCGTTGGTGAGAATATTGTCTTTCTCTCCTGCATTTTCCGCTTCGCTGCTCGCGGATTTACGCGAGCCACTTCCCCTCCTCCGATCTAGCCCTTCGCCTCTTATCTAGTCCGGCTTTATCAGCCGTGAAACTCAGTGGGACGACGTTACGGAAAATCGGAGGAGGGTTGCCGACCTTATTGCCGACGACGGTCGTTGTAGGAATCGCGGGGATTGCTTTTCTTTTTCTACCAGCTGCACATCGAGAGAGCGATGGAGAAAAGGGGAGGCATCCTCCACCTGGATCCTCTCGTCGTTGCCATTGCCGTTTCACTCGTTATGTAAATTACAAACCGCTTATCGGCAAATCTCACGAGCGCGCAGATGTCGCAAACATATCGAGAACGTCGCGACGCCCAACGTTTAGTGATCATTTAATGTGACAGGAAGAGAGAGAGAGAGAGAGAGAGAGAGAGAGAGAGAGAGAGAGAGAGAGAGAGAGAGAGAGAGAGAGAGAGAGAGAGAGAAGAGAGAGAGAGAGAGAGAGAGAGAGAGAGAGAGAGAGAGAGAGAGAGAGAGAGAGAGAGAGAGAGAGAGAGAGAGAGAGAGAGAGAGAGAGAGAGAGAGAGAGAGAGAGAGAGAGAGAGAGAGAGAGAGAGAGAGAGGCGTGTTAGAATGCAGGATTCTCTTTACTATGTATTCGTGCTGATTTATTCATTCGGAGCGACATGCTGGAGGCGCGTATAACAAATTACGCGACTGTGTAACTCATTTAACTTCGCGGGCAGTTCACGCGTTGCGATACATTTTTTATCTTTATTCACGTACGGAGCGTGTTTGCGGTGCAAAATTGTCCGCGCGGTGCGTATTTGCTTTGGCGCTTAATCACCGAGTTTTTCGTTTGATCATGATTTCGGCGGTAATTTGTTTATTATCGATTCGACACGAGGCCTGCTCATTAAAATTTAGCGGAACTTCGCAGGATTCAAAATATTTTGATCGACGGTCGTTTCGATCGAGTGGGCGCTATTTCTGCTTTCAAATTGCAAACACGAGATATTGTATTTTTGATGAAAATTATCAATATTGCAACACTCTGAGGTAATGTGTTGTGCGTAATAATTTTAAATGTATATAACGATGTGATGCTCTTGACATATGCCTGTTTTTCGCGGGATTTTTCGATCCACTTCGTAAAATATGATCCCTCATGACGAACTTCCCTCTTACCAAACGTATTTCCTCGACCGTTACGGATTACGACTTTGCTGTTTCACGACGCTCGTCTCTCACCGTACGACTAATCGTACGAAGATTTCAGTGCGTGAGCTAAAAGCGAGCAGTAGTACGCTGAAGTTTCTAATGAGATCCTCCTGCAATTTCAATTACATCGCCGCGCGAACTTACAGCTCGCAGATTGCGATTTATCGCTGAAAGTCGGCAATTACACGCGGCGTTACGCCGCGATTCAAGGGACGAGAAGTTACGCGCAGCAAAAGATTATCACGTTTCAGCCACGTCGCGACTGAAATCGGCGAAATTCCGGCCGGTAAATTTAGTCGGCCGAGAGACTCGGCAAATTAAATCTGCAAGATTTTATCGCCGTGTACTTTTTCCCACCGATCGGGGGGATGGTCGGCGAAGGGGGGAGAGATTATGGAAAATAACCGCGAGCCGCGACTAATACAACGAGCAAACGCCGTGGAGAATTCGCCCGTGAAGACGACGTGGAATTTATCCGTAGCATAATTCCATCATCGATCCGCGTGCCACCGTCATATTTTCGCCATTATTACGTTGGCCCTCCAAGACGCCTTTGTTTATCCCCCTCGCGCAGTCATTATAAACAATCGCGCGGATTCGCCGATATCCCCCCCCCACCCACCCTCTCCCCCGCGATCACGGCTACGCCCGACTTTCTTCTTACGCGTTTCTCATAATAGCAAATATTTATTCTTCTCGTCGAGAGCGCGTCCGTTTGCGGATAAGTGCGAAGTAAAAGCACCTTTGGCCGAGACTGCTCGTTAAAGCCGCGTGTCGAGGATTCCCCGAGTGGCGGAATTGTACGCAATCGAGGCAAACCAGCCATCAATAATCCACCTTCTGCTCGCCGGTTGTTCACTCGTTCTGCCCAATCAGCGTGTTAACCGTGCGGCGGGAGCTCGAATTTACAACGCGGAGCGAGCTGGGGAAAGACCTTGACGAGAAACGACCGCGTGTGTCAGTTACACCAGCTGCTGGACCGCTACCGTGCCATACTCGGGTGTCACCGTGAGTCTTCCTGCCGCTATAAAGCGGAGTTATGCGATCCTCGTAAACCCGGAGGCCTTGACGCTTCAACGTTCAACATGGTCCCGGCGAGCAAGATTTAGCAAGTTGAGCTGCTTTCCGGGCTCGTTCCTGCGAGCAGACGTTCAGCTTTATAAACAATTTCTAAAGCTCGTGATCGATCACAGCGACGATGGTACCGGCGACGGCGGCGGCGACGAGGACGGTGTGTTGCGGTCGCAAATGGCTTGAAAAATAAATAAAAGCTTGTTTTTGAAAACTCCATCGTCCCCGCCGACGTTTATCTAGGTAATCAGCTTCAGTGTTGAATACACGCATCTTGTTTTCGCAGGTCGATATTACTTACTTCGATCAGCGTGCGAACGAGCTGCAACGTTCGTTCTCTCGCGATTAGTTTTCACGGATCTGAAGAGTTCAGCGGTAGATGATGCGTGTGTGTGTGTGTGTGTGTGTAACGGAAAAGTTAATGCGCATAATATAGTCGCTAATAAATTTCAACGAAACATTCCGCGCGGAAATGTAAAATTGGAAAGTTTCAGTTCACTAACAATTACTATCGTGACAATGAAATTATCAATTACAACACAATTATCGATTGTTTCTCAGACACGTTGCACTTTTTCTCATCGAAGGAGTGAGCGGAGGTTGTTATTCGACACACACGCGAGAGTGACAACATTTTTCCTTCTCTTAAGTCGACTGTGCTAATAGGAATAAAAAAGCATTCGAGAAAGAAAGTGAATGAACAAAGGAATAAAAAAGAATGACGTTTCCTCGAGCGCTCGAAAACTGCACTTTTAGTATCATGTTCCATCGTCGTTCTGAAAGTAATTTTTTGCGCTAATGTAGCGTGACGCGCGAATGTCTGTGCTTTCTTCGCCGAGGGAAAGAATGCAAGCGGCGTCGGATTATGAGGAGAGAGCACAACGCCATACTGCACATCGCCTCTGTCCGTGTAATCTTATTAGTTCGTGGCTTTATTAGGCTAAATTTAAAGCTGCCATCCCAGCGACTTGCGGAAAATTGGAGGTACGAGTGGCGAGCGCGGCGCAGAATTACGATCGTGGTCGCCGAGCTTTTTGTCGGCAGCTAATTGTTCCAGCTCGAAAACGTGAAACTCTCCCTCGTAATTAGCCCGCTGTACACGCGACCCCGATTAAATTTTGCACACCGATAAACCACCGAAACCGGAAAAACTTTATGGTACGATACGATAAAATGTGTACTTTGACTAAAGAATTTATGTTTCATCGAGTAAACACTTCTCGATAGTGGTCTCATGCACTTGATCTTTCGCTTATGTTACTCGTTTGCCGTAAAATTAAATGTATATTATACCTCATAAAAGCGACTGAATATGAGCGTGAAACCAAGTAAGCATGCTCTTGCAGACGATAGTCGCGGTGGATCTTCGGAAGGAACTTGTTACTACCATCGTTTTATCGGAGTTTGATCAAGCGACATTTAATACTTCTCGGAAAAAAATGCAACCGTCACAGTAGTCGTCTTTCGTAGTCGTGCTCATAATTTTTCTCAGAGACCTATCATATTATTATCATATTATTAAATGTCTTTATTCTGTATTTCGTCTTAGCGTGAGTATTCTTTTCAATTTCCATCCGTCACCTCTTCGTCGATTCTTCGTCGTTGTCGCAACATCATTTTCCACCGCACAAAAAGTCGTTTCCTGACTAATTCGAATAATTCCTCTATTCCTCTCAAATATTCAGCTTCTCGAATAAAGTCTTTTATTTACGCGCAAAATGTAGTGCTTCTCATAAACAATTTACTGGGATTTCTATAATGAGTGGAAAGGAAGGCTTTTTAATTATATGTACTTCATTTCGAATGTGTTCTGTAGTTGGTCAGTCAGTGCGCAGTTTAATGGAGTAACTACGTTTTATACATATATACGAAGAGGACTTCTCGACGTACGCAGAAATCTCGTATGGAAATGAAGTGCATGAAGTGCAAAGTATCAAACTTCCCATCAAAGTGGCATTTTTAGTAGGATTCATAGTTTAGCAAGTCAGCAAGAGGGTCATTAGTTACAACTGAATTGTTATTTAAATATAGTAGTAATATGACTAATTTAACTAATTTCTTGCACGCAATTTTATGTCATTTACAAGTTTATGTAAAATGTGACTTCTGGCGTTTATACGGTTTATACGGCGTGGAACACCGTTAAATTCACATTCACCCGAGCGAGACTGCAACGGATTATTGCTAGAGTGACACAGTTATTTATTATGTACAAATAAGATCAGTGTAATTCAGTCGATAGTTCGCGTGTGTCTCTTGACGCGTGTTGGGATGGAGATTTATTCACTTCAAATCGCAAGCGAGAAATGTGTTTAATCGCCGGTAGCGTCAATATGGAATTTTATTTTAAAAGCATGTTGATAGATTGACGGAAAAAAAACTAGTTTGCTTATGTACCTCTGAAAAACATACATTGCGCTTGACTAAATCAGCAAATGAGAACGAGAATGCGAATAAAAATAAAAAATGAACAAAACTGACAATTTCATATCCACTCATTGGATAATATCCTAAATTATTATTATCCATTATTTACTTATCTAGTAAATATTAGATAATTTCCTTTAAATTGCAGGATTTATTATTTGTCACGTCTCACTCTCTCCAAGAAACTTTCAAGGATCGTATTGCATGTTCTTTGCGCAATCTACGAGAGACTGTATACTCTGTTTGTTCATAAAAGGTTTCATACAGTTTAATCGTTCCGCATCAATGGATCCGTAGTCGACCTTTTGGTTAATGGATGATGATACCGACGATCATATAGCGAGAGATCTGGTCTCTCTTTCTCTTTTTCTTTATCGACTCGATCGAATATCGCGTACTTGCCTCGTCATGTTGAAACCAAACTTAGAAATAATACGAATGGTATTGGACATTAAGGGAGAAGACGCTGTGCAAGATTATGACGATAAACATTTCTTATTCTTTCATTCATGAAAAGCCGATTTGGCCGAACTATTAATAGAATTTTTTACTGAATTGGAAATTCATCTTCGATTAAACCGAATATTTTATCGTCTCGAAATTAATCGAGTTAATCATTAGCTTTTATATTTTCTTACCTGTGCTATTTGATCGAACCTGCCAAAGAGCTCGTTGAGGGTCTTCACAAGATCGGAAGCTGACAGCTGCTCCGATAGTGGCGTAAAGTTGACGATATCCGCGTAGAGAATACTACATAATCAACAGAAAGATATCTCGCATATAATTTTACGTATAATTACGAACATTATGACATTTCTTGAAAAAGTACGTAGTAAAAATACATAGAAATATCTAAGAGAGATGAAAAATTTGAAATATTTTTTAAATGAAAAATTTTAATTAAAAGTTTTTAATTAAATATAAAATTTTTAACGAAAATTTTGAATAATAATTTTAGATTTTTACACAATAAATTTAGATCTCATGTTTATATCATCACTTATTCACGTGCATCAAAATAGCATACGAGACGGGGAGACGTACTTTCTTTTGTGAAGCGCGCGTACTTTATTAAAGAATATTAACATCGATTTTAAACACGCGCAAAGTGATTTATTCGTCCTCTAGGTTGTCTCTTTTCTGAAGAAGTATAAAAGGAGCGATTCGTATTATCATTTAATTATAATCGCGTAATGGATATCGTACATTCTTTGACACTCGTATAATTTATAGCAGTGCATTAATCTTGAAGAGCACGCGCACCAAAGAAAGCGGCATTGAAGTAAAATTCGCTCTTGATCGATCGGCATTTAAAGCGTTCTCAAAGCGTTGAATTGGATGCTGCACAATCGCACGAGCACGTGTCGTAAATTCGAATGCTGAATCGTCGCATAAATGAGAGACAATTCGATCCCATATCGATATGCATCGCACGCTATATATGTATGCGTTTGATTGTTATAATAACCGATATCCGCGTTGTACTCCATAATTTACACAATCCTAAGACAACCAGGTATGCGTTTTTCGAAAACTTCGAGCAAATTATTACTGTGCTTAGTCTTGCGTTGTTGCTCCTTAATTTTATTTTTAACGTCGTTAAGATGTTAATATTGTTTCTTGTCTTGTCGGAAATCGCTTCGACTGGATGTTCGCACGAACGAGAGAGATTCTTTCGTCGTAATGATATCGCTAAATATTCGCGACTAATTACGATTATTATAAATAAAAATAAACAATGATACGTATGCACACATTCATAAACGTCAGCCCAATTCATAAACGTCAATTCTCTCTTGAGACGACAATCGCGATTTATATTTAAATTTTTGCGACTAAAAAGGAAATGCGCGTGACATTTGGATTAAAATTGTAACAAATCAGCGAAATACCGCGTGGCGATCTCTTCCGCTACGATCAGGCTAATAAGACAATTTTAATGACATACCTGACATTATTATGCCGCTGCACATACATCTCCTGAAACGTGGTTTGCTTGTGTTTATTAGCTTCTTGACAAGCATCCGCCATCTTCAGCATTATGCTCCTCTTTACCTGTGCAACACAGCATTATATTAATATTTTGCGTACATGAATATCACTCGCTTACGAATGCGAAAGTACATATTCCTAGGGTTATAGCGGTATAGACGTTGCACAAACGCTAATTGGAGGGAGCACAACTATATAATATATTTGTATATTCCTACGCGAGACGCGCGTCAAACTCTGGGAATATGTATATTACGTGACTATGTCATGTCGACAAAACAATACGTATATATATACCATAGTCTATGATTTGAGGATTAACACGTAAATTGCTTATTCAGAGTCGTAAATTATTGATGTTACCGGCAAACACGATTATACGGCACGTGCGACACTGTTACGTTCACTGTTTAAAAATAATCGGAACTCGGATTGCAATCGAATCAATAAACTCGATAGTGCAATAAAAGTCTAATTGAAAGCGTAATCCGTCGGATTATTTTGTAAATATTTCTCCGTGCTCCGGAATTTCATCGGAAATTCCACCGCAATAATTCAATGCAGTGTCTATTTGTACTGCCATTAAAATTCGTTATTATTCGTACGTCCGATTATTTGTATCTCCCGTGTAAAATCGACAAATCAAAGGTTTGTCGTCACGGGTTTCGTGACGACGGGTTTCAGGATTGGCTTTCAGGATTACGATTACGGCGGATTCGCGTACACAGCGGATCGGATATATCTTCACCCGGAAATAAGGGAGATTCGGCGCGGCTGTGGCACAGCGTCGAGTATTTGCGCAAAGGAGAACGTTTATGCACTTTTGTTGGCTTTACCGCAGGATTCCATCAGCTCGTCCTGAAGTCATCTTACGTTAAGCGACATTATGCGCGAGCTTCTCTCCGATGAATGTGCTCTCTCAGAGGTACCATTAATACGACCCGTGAGAAGCTTCTCCGACTAATTGCCACCACTTATCACGTCTCCGAATTAATATGAAACTTTTGTTACGGGTAGGTAGAGAAATAGTCGCGCATACAATCGCGATCTTCCTCGCCATCTTCCATTTCAGGCGAAGTTCCCGCGAACTAAAGTACGATTCCACGAAGATTTTTTCGCCGATTCTTAATTACATTGTCCGAGAACTTTTCCGCACAAAGAGTCCGCTCGTTTCCTATTACAGCGCGACGTTTCTCAAACCGATTTGCATCAGAGAGATCATAGGTTGTGATACGCGCCAGGTCTGCGACCTGGGGACGGTTGTGCGGAATTTAGTCTTTATTCTTCTCTTCGGGCGCTGCGGGCGAATTGCTCGTGAAACTTTTGTTAACTTTCCGAGCGCGGCTGACCTAAGACTCTTGTCGACTGTGCATATATATATAGGTGATAACTGTTGCTTGTGTCGATACATGTACACGCCCATAGCTCACGTCGATGACTCACTAATTAGCACTTGAATCACCTCAGCAAATAGATGTAACCGAAAGCTGCACTACCGCGCGGTTTGATAATTGAATTAAATATCAATCAACTGATAGAATATCGTGGAACGATATGAAGAGCTTTCCCATTATCTATCGAAGCACGTACGCGCGTGAGAAATTGGTCACGAGCGTTCCCGGTGGCTCGCAATCAAGGTTTTAATTTGATCCGGCGATTTGCGCGCGATACATTTTTATCGCTTACCTCCGCGGCAATGTAGGCGGGGATAACGCTCAGCAATAATTGTTCCTGTTGCTCTCTCTCGCACTCCAGCTTGATTCGAGACTCGATAACAGTCTTCGTCCCGGAGAAAGTTTTACGGAGAGCTGACGCCGTCAGGAGTCTGTAATACAAGCCGGCGAGGACCGCAGCCAACAGGAATACGATCTCTACGACGATCTGCCGAAAAGAACGTAACGATTCCTTCGAATATCCCTTCGAAATATATATACGATTCGCGAAAAGTCGATAAATACATGATATGCGGTAAATCATTAGCTGCGATGTACGTATTAGCAGAAGTGATCTCATTTGATCGGTGATTCGAACATGCGATTCGCGTGGACGGGAGTTTTATCTTATGCCGATTTTCATTAAGTCTTTCGCATAGCGACAAAGCATTGGTTAATAAAGACACGAGAAAGTAATATTATATATATATATATATATATATATAAAGGGTGTCTCAAAATTACCTGACATTTTAATTTATTAATAAAACATATTATTTATTTGAAAAGTACAAATGTTTTTATTTTAATATAAGGTACAAACACGGAGGTTATGTGTGGAACACAACATCCGATAAATGGCTGCCTCGACCCTGTTTGCAAACGTTCATTCTTTTGACAAAATTTTCAATGACATTTTGGCATAATTGCGGACTAATTTTATTAATGGTGCGTCTAATTTCTTCCTTGAGCTCCGGAATGGTCTGTGGATCATTGGCATACACTTTTCCTTTCAGAAAACCCCAAAGAAAGAAGTCCAATGGCGTCAAATCGCACGATCTTGGTGGCCAATTCACATCGCCGCGGCGCGAAATGACACGATCATGAAACTTCGTCCGCAATTTTGTAGTGAATTTCCACAATTTCTATGCGTTGCTCGATCGTGTAATTCTTCATGACTAAATCTCAATACTTCCTGATGCCAGTTGTCAAAGATTAGTACTCTATGTTCGCCACAAAAAAAATGGCGCGCAATTTAAAATGTCAGATCATTTTGAGACACTCTTTATATATATAAGACAGTCTGAGACTCGGTTACATTTACCTGAATAACATCGTAGTAGTCCAGAAGATTGTCGAAGACGTATCTCCTGGAAATGTGCACGAGCACCAGAGTGCAAGCGATGACGAACGGCGCTTCAAACCTCATCTTCGGCAGAATGGCGATTATCGATAGGACGCACACGAATAGAGGCAGGACGCTTTTTAATATTAGAATTCCTAGACCGAATACGACGGAGGATGCTGCACCTATCAGAATCCTGGACCGCCTGGAGCTCATAACCGAGGGCAACTGTGTCACCAGCAGCAATATTAAAGAGGCGATAAGCATGGTCGTCAGTGTCGACGCATGTATAAGATCGGGTATCAAAGATATGCCCTGAAAAATAAAGTGAAAGAATATTGTACGCGCGGGGTCAGCCATTCGTGATCCCTGAAATTCGTGATGCAATTCTACTTTCAGCTTTCCGGTAGATCTTTTTCAATATTCGACTGTTACCATCAATTTTTGAAGCGGTGGATTTGGTGTCTGTAATTTTTTAGACAGCTCGACATGCAATTCCGCAAGAATTATTGCTAACCAATATCAAGAGCATAAATTGTTATTTAGAGAAAAGCCGGATCAAGTCGGAGATAGGATATCTCCAGACGAAACCAATGTAATAAGCTTCACGAATTACATCTCTCATCGAATTTTTCTCGCAAGCAAACCAACGGAGAATCGTCGTCTCATCCCGACTCGAAGTTTTCATGAAACTTTTTGTCCTTTGGACTTCGAAATAAATTTTCATCGACGACCGTTCTCCGTTACGCTCAGACCAGTTGTGAAAGTGCGAGAGCGGATTTCCCGATCGAGATAAACCACGTTATCGATTTCGTCGCGAGTTCGTCGGCTTGGAAATGCCAACGTCGACGTTGGATCCGATAGTAGCGGTGCGTTACATATTCTTCGCGGATTTATCGATCTGAACAATATTCAGCAGACTCCTGGTACCTCCGATATCAATATTAATTCTTGGCCTCACTAACGAACAGCCTGCGGTCCAATTTCAGGACGCGGCTTGTTAATAGGTTACCGAAGAATACACGTGTACGTTGCCGAAGGGTCACCGATATCGATCCGTTTTAAAGAGACATCAGATGGAGTTTTAATTGAAAATTAACTATCGCGTCGAACGCGTCGTCTTAGAGCCTCAACACGCGAGGTGTAATGATGTTCCAACTTCGGGAAGCTCCGACGTCGCGCGCTCGGCAAGGATTAATTTTTGGATATAGTGATTAATTACAAGCTGCAACTATTTCGGATATAATCTCTTCGAGCACGGATATCGAGAGTTCGATCGACAATCCAATTAAGATAAATTTATGACACAAATTCCGAACGAGCGAGCGAGCGAGCGAGTTGAAGCACTTCGAGAATGTGAGGACTTTCGTATTCTTGAATTTGTGAAATTTCAGCTACTTTGTTGCCCGTTGTTAAACACAGGTTGCAGATTAAACATTACAGATTATTATATATACAGATTGTTACTATAATTAATAGATATACATTATTTCCGACCACGTAGCAGAAGCTTCAACGGATATTTCTTCTTCTGCCACAACTTAAGCCGGCAATTAATACTTATTCCATATGAAAAAAGCGCGAGTCATCACTCCGTAGTCGCGATACGTCATGAAGGCGGTACTTACAAGATGGTCGGTGACCGATGAGGTGAACGATGAGCATAGAGCACCCAGAGCAATTAACGAGGCAACGGCGGCGACGCAGAACGTTCCCGTATAGAGAGATGCAGTCAACTTCCCTTCATATTTGTCGCGAAGTTCCTGAAGTTCTTTAACGCCAGCATCATCGCCTGCACCATCGCCGAGGCTCTCTGAAACACAGCGTCGTCACTTGTTAAACCCATTGTGTATATCTGTAGCTTGACGCAAGGCACTCGAATATGAACAAAGTACGCGAGAAAAACCATTTAGGTGAAAAGAAATCCGAGGTATAGAAATCCGGGATACTATTATATAGTATTCCGGGATATTACTATTATATAGTATTCGCAATAAAATTCAGGCATTTAAGACAAGATGTGAATTATCACTTTCAGTTTTTGATTTCAAATATCAAATCTAATTCTCAGTCAAATTAATTCGCACGTTAGGAGGACGTATATTCAGGTTACTAATTGATCAAACGATCCCCCGAATGCAAGCACAGCAACAGTACGATAAACTTAGATATTCCTTCAGATTCTCCATATTACTTCTCAACTAATGAGTAAGATTTGCAGAATGTGTACGTTCAGTATTAATAATTGCAACAATATTGCATGTATGACGAGTGCACCATAAAGTGTATCGGCGAACGCGCGTGCACCGTAAGACATAAATTAATTAACATCTTCTGTTCCGGTGTTGGTAGCTTAGAGATTACTTGCAGTGCGTAGCGGCGATGAAGTCCGATATCTCGTTTCGAACATTATTCAGTCGGGAATTAGCGGCTTAATTCGCGGCCCGAAGTCCGCGATTCCGTCTCGGAGCGACTCGCGTATCGCAACGCGGCGCGCAGGACTGCCTCAGATGTACCGCGGCATTTACGTTGCATTGTGGAAACTTCAGTCATAACGGTGTGTCCAATTAATTATTCATCCGGAACACGAACGAAATTCATGCCGTAGGTACGATACGTGACGGTAAATACATGCGCGCGCGCGGCCTTCCAATTATTTCACGCGCACCTTTGATGCCGTTATTACACGGCAATACAATGATTGACGCTACACACAATGTTCAATTAATTACGTATTGATGAGGATTTAATGATTGATTTATTTCGATTGCCTCTGTACGTCCTGTCGCTCGCTCGCAATTTCGCTAGGATTCCGATAACTTCGACGTCGCATCTTGATGATCGTTTTTAATTGTTTCTCTCGTCGGGAAGAACGAATGTGCACGTTTACCTATGTTCCTCGCCGTGATCCGCGGACGTTGCGTTCTGAATTTTCGTGGGACAACAAATGGATTCGCATTTCCCTTCTGAAGAGAAAATTTGCGACAACATGGTCGCGTCGCGTTATAACGTTGCATCTTTTGCATATTAGCAAATTAAAAGTTCCCCAGATGCGCGGGAAAAAAGCTCTTCACCATTCGCTTACGTTCGTTAAGCTTTTTGTGACTTTTTTTCGTGGAGAAAGCACAAAGTACATTATCGCGTGTGCTTTTACAATCAACCCTTTTTGTCACGCCGATGATGGGCGACGGCATCCATAAAGGTTAATTGGGAGGGTTTCAAACGACGAGCAAGATTAAGATCAATACGCTGCGCGGAGAGGACGAAGCGAGCACGAACTTAATTAAACTGATTAATAATTTAAATTTTTATAATTGATTTGAGGGACTAATGAATGAGATAAGAGACGGCAGAATGAGGGGCGGTAGAATACGACTCTTGAATTATGTGGAAATATAACGTACAGGAAACTTCACTTTGCTTGATTTTGTAAGAAAAGAAGAGCAAGCGAAAAATTGTAGTAGATTTATTATAATCGTGTATCTCTCGCTGAAAAATTTGACAAGAATTTTCTCGGATTTTCAGGCAGGTGCAAGAGAAGCAAGAGAAAATTTCGTGTGTGTCTTAGGGGTTTCTCCTGACAATAGACATTCTCTCTGATACAAATTTTTTTCAAGGTGACGATTGTATGCATATACGTGTTAATTCCGTATTAATTAATTTCGTGATGAATTCCGATACCGTGTCTCTTACGTAGCGGTGACGACAAGATCCAATTTATTAATGCAAGTCTTGAGGGATGACAACGATATTGTAGACGCGTAAGTTCGCGCGATCAGGGTTGCGCGTGTCGAGTTATAAGGGCAAGCTGAGCCGCACGCCACCGCCACCATCTGACCGCTCCTTCTCCTTTTACCGCCTTCATAAAAGATCTAACACTTTTACCGAGCGCAATATATTATTTCTGCCGCTCGACTTCATTCCGTCGCGGAGGGCAAAGGGAAGATCGATTGAGCCGGATAATTTTCACGAATTTGCGATGCATCGATACATCGATAACGTTGTGATAACGTACCACTCTATATCTCGCCCTGATAGGTATCCGTGATGCGAACGATGCGCGTATATAAAAGGAATATTTCGAAAATGTCAGATACTCAGCGAGCCCGTCCATCAAGTCGACTGGCGTCGTCGGAAGCAAATGGCAGAGATCTCCTTTGCGAAATGATGAAAATTGAGCATGAGATTCCGTCCTGGCACAGAGTTACAGAGATTCGTGGATGAGTCACGCGCTCTTCAACGCGTAAACGTTAGACGAGAAGTTATCGGAGAAATTCAATTTCGAGTGTCGACCAATATTCCGATTAATAATTTCGAGCACGGACGCGAGACCTCTCTCTTTCTCAGTATTCTATCTCAAAAGTCGATACTTCCCGTTAATTTGGACCTAAAGTCCAAATTAGATGAAAAATCCCGAGCAACGACGGAATGCGTCTCGTCGGATAAATAAAAAGGTGTAGACGCGCCTCGCGCGATCGTCGACATGCGTCGCTCTTGGCAGACTGCATTAACTTAATTGATCGGAATTGTCGTCGGCGAGTAAACGAATCAACCTAATCCGCTAATGAAACAAGTCGCGCTCGGACACGCGATCGGTAAGGTAATCGCCTATGGAGCCAAGGCTAGACGTCGCCAGTCGCTGATTCTAATTAGCGTCGATGACTGCTCTTTCGCGCTCATGTACGCGCGGCACGAAGGTGCGCAATCAGTCACCTCGTTAAATCGATCACCGCCGCGCAAAATGATCATTGTTCCGCTCGGCTTGCAATCGCTACGGCGTATTATATTTCCAGCGCGTTATTTCCGTAATTTGCGCAATATGAGCGCGAAATCGCGCTGATATTGCGCGACGAGCGGCGCAATGTTGCGAACGGCCGATATTGCGACGTGACAATCAAATAAATGAGTCCCGACGGCGATGACGGCGCCAAAGAAAATATGATAAATTATGTCACGATATAATAGCCAATAAAGCGCTCGGGCTCTCGTCCTCTCGCTAATTTCTCATCGACGCCTGCTGATGTTAACGTTAATTTTTCCGAGGCGGCGATTTTATTATCTCTATTTGCTTGCCTGAGTTGCTTGTCAGGTCTCGATATCGCGTCCATTGCGAATTGAAAGGGAGAAGGCTCGCGAGACGTCGGGTTCTCGAGTCCACGAGGAACGCGGGTGTCAACCTGAGAAGCAAATCAAGCGAAAAGGCATTACGCTACGAAAACCTGAGGTACCCAATTAAATATCTCGATTGAGAAATTTCGTTGGAAACGACCGGCGTCGGCACTCGCGCGCGCGTTTCATTCATCGTGCGTACTTTAATCCGCCGCGCTCCTTGCCGCTCCATTTACGGCTATACCTCAAGCAACGAGAACCGCGCAGTGACACTTCATCAGAGCGCCCGTTAATTGGCCGTTCGCGTCGGCTTTTTTTCTCTCCCTTTGCCACGAACCGTCACAGTGCCGCTGCGAGATGCAACAGAGCGGCGAGAGAGAGAGAGAGAGAGAGAGAGAGAGAGAGAGAGAGCCGTGGCTTTTGAATCGAACGAAGAATTTTTCCCGATACCGATGCGTGTGGCTCGCCCTTCCTCCTCCGCATTCATATAACTTTCAATACCCTCCTGTGCTCTCGTCGTTCGTCACTCGCATAAAGCGCATCCCCTCCGTATGGAAATCGCGAGGCTAGAACTGCCAGCGAGCAAAGTGAAAATCTGCATTCGCATAATTTCTGCTACACACGCGCGGATTTGCGGCACCTCCCGAAAGACGTCTCGTTCGCGAGCGGTTTATCCGCATCGGCGGAAATTATTCCGCCCGTCTCCGCTCTTCTCCGTCGTTTTTCTTCGCGGCTCGAGTGAATTCCGAATTACCTTCGCGATACACTCGCGACGTTTCACGAGAGGATCCGCGAGTCGTCTCAAGCCGCAAGTATTGGGTATTAAACTTAATTTTAAAGGATTGTTTTGTGAAAATGAACGTTTATTTCGAAACAAAGTGATAAATACATGTTATTCAAAGTATTGTCCATCCTTAGCTACAACTTTTTCCCATCTTTTTAGCAAAAGGCGAATTCCTCGGCGGAAGAACGACTCGTCTTTTGTGGTTATCCACGAATCGAGCCATTTTTCGATATCTTCTAAAGAACTGAAGTGCTGGACAGAAAGGTGATTCTGCATAGATCGAAACAAGTGGAAATCAGAAAGAGCAATGTCTAGTGAACACGGCGGGTGAGGTAATAAGGGTGTCCCAAAATTCACGCAAGATTTGAATTTTGCGCCATTTGTGCGGTGAAGTGTTGCCAACGAAAAAAAAAAAAAAGACAGCATGACAGTTTAGGGTTTTTAAACTGACCACGCACAGCGAAGAGAGTTCGTTGAATGGATTATGGAACAACAACAAGTGGCTGCTGATTTTTCGAACAAAATCATTTTCAGCGATGAGGCTCTCATTTTCATCTTGATGGTTTGGTTAATCGACGAAATTGTCGCATTTGGGGTTCAGAAAATCCACGAGTGATTGTTGAGAAACAAATGCATCCACAACGTGTCACTGTTCGGTGCGGATTTTGGGCTGGAGGCGTCATCGGACCATTCTTCTTCGAAAATGCGGCTGGTCGGGTAATAACAGGTGTTAACAGTTAATGGTGCTCGCTATCGCGACATGATAATCCAGTTTTTTGTGCCTAAATTGCAAGATATGGATGTGGTCACGACATGTGGTTTCAACAAGACGGTGCCACATGTCATACAGCCCAAGAGAAACAATTCAATTACTGCATGAGTCATTTCCTGGTCGTGTAATTTCTCGTTTTGCCAACAAG